AATACATAAGAAAACATGTGAAAATACTAAAGATTATCCACCTTCAATCTAAAGTCAGACGTGATACCAATTGCACCATGGAAGCATATTGAAAATATATTTTAATGTATTTTATTCACAAACCAATCATTCAATAAAAAAACATTTTCTCTGGTACAAAATAGATTATTGATAGAATGTGTATTACAATGTAGTGAATTTGGAAACAATACAGTTTTTAACTTTTTGAAATTTGGACATCCCAAGCTATCCATATCGCTGTTATCCAAATTGATAATACCAAATCCGTTTTTGTGTATTTTCATTGTGGGTAACTGATCCTTCATGAATACACCACGAAAATGTTTCAGTTTCAGTAACTTTGCATATTTTTCCAAATCAATGTTGGATAGAGCGCGATGTTGTGGTAGTTTAATAGGTAATGCTTTTTTAAAAATTGTCAAGGTATTTTTTTCTGACATCCTCCTTGGTGTAAAAAAAGACCCAGACCAGTTTTGTATGGTTTCAAGAACAATCCTTTTCCCATGGCAATGGATTCCATCGTTTGATTATGACGTTGATTCTCCTTCAACTGTTGATTGGCGGACTTGGCATTTTAACACGTGAAAATATGGTCCATTTTGAACAAAAAAAGTTAATACTACATGGGGTCCAAACTCGAGCATTTTTGAGAAAAAAGCCGTTGAAGTTCGGACATTTTTTGACGAATATTTGAAAGATAAAGAAAATTTTAATCAGTATGAGATGTGAAAAAATTTAGTTCATTCAATTACTAAGTACCTAATTATGCATTTTTAGTCAACAATAATAAAAAATTGGGAAAACAACGTGAAAATTTCACTCGTAAATCGGTATCTAAACATCTTGCAACATAGCACAACACACACACACGCACACTTGATTTGTCTTATGTCAGTTAGTTCAAACATTGGAAGCGCGCGTAATTCATTCTTTTTTGAAAATAAAATGGTTGCAAACGTCGAACATGCAGATACTTGTTTAGGCAAAATCGTTGCAAAATGCCCATTGTAAGTGTACAAAATCTGCGTTTTGATTTGAGTGTTTTGAGAACCTTTTAACAAAAATTGATATTTTCATAATGAGAATTTAGCAAGAGAAAGAGAAAATGTCCATATAATTAGTGGAAAATTGCATTTCAACGACATTTTCTGCGATTTTCACTTCTTTTTAATGTACCATCCAACATCCGCATTTTTTATCAAAATCTATCAAACGTAGTGTGTTAAAGTTCACATTCAACCAACAGTGAAACGACCTGAATAAGAGCTAGGTAGTTAATAGTATTATAAATCATTCAGAGACATATTTTTAGTTTATATTTGCATTTAAATAAATTTGTTCCAAATGTGTTTTTTTTTTGCCCCATTTTTTATTTAAAAATATCAACATTCAAAAATAAAGCAAGCTAAATTGGAGCAAATAATTATAATTCAGCTCCATTCAGAATTCTGTTTTTGGTTGAATTTGTTTTTAAAACCATAAAATGATCTAACTTATTTTTTCATTGAATATACAGAAATTGTTGCTAAGTGGCGTCGTGTAGGATCCTCCTTGGTGTAAAAAAAGACCCAGACCAGTTTTGTATGGTTTCAAGAACAATCCTTTTCCCATGGCAATGGATTCCATCGTTTGATTATGACGTTGATTCTCCTTCAACTGTTGATTGGCGGACTTGGCATTTTAACACGTGAAAATATGGTCCATTTTGAACAAAAAAAGTTAATACTACATGGGGTCCAAACTCGAGCATTTTTGAGAAAAAAGCCGTTGAAGTTCGGACATTTTTTGACGAATATTTGAAAGATAAAGAAAATTTTAATCAGTATGAGATGTGAAAAAATTTAGTTCATTCAATTACTAAGTACCTAATTATGCATTTTTAGTCAACAATAATAAAAAATTGGGAAAACAACGTGAAAATTTCACTCGTAAATCGGTATCTAAACATCTTGCAACATAGCACAACACACACACACGCACACTTGATTTGTCTTATGTCAGTTAGTTCAAACATTGGAAGCGCGCGTAATTCATTCTTTTTTGAAAATAAAATGCTTGCAAACGTCGAACATGCAGATACTTGTTTAGGCAAAATCGTTGCAAAATGCCCATTGTAAGTGTACAAAATCTGCGTTTTGATTTGAGTGTTTTGAGAACCTTTTAACAAAAATTGATATTTTCATAATGAGAATTTAGCAAGAAGCTGAGTAAGTATTATTTAATTTTTCTCTTGAATGTGTAGTTCAAAAATGTCATTAAGTGCAATTCACAACTTAATATAAAACGGCACATTTTTTATTTTTACTAGAAAAGTGATAAAAATGTAAGTTATTATTTACATTATTTGAAAGCCAATAACAAACCAAATCGTCAACAGATGGAAATTAATAAACTAGTTGCAAAAAAAAAACCTTCAAAGGACCCCGCAAACAAAATTTTGCTGTGTTAGACCTTGACTTCCTTCAAAATTTCATTGAGTTTGACAGAAAACCAAAAACCCATAAGAGGTGTGCGGGGTCCTTTACCAGTTCTATTTACATTTATATCCTGGCAAAGATAATACCTGTACGATGTTGTCAAGTTGCTATCACTAACGACAATCTGGGAATTTTCCCACGATATCAAAAAAGTTCCCACGCTCAAGTTAAATTTCAGATCAAAGGTGCCGACAATCTGGGAATTTTCCCACGATATCAAAAAAGTTCCCACGCTCAAGTAAAATTTCAGATCAAAGGTGCCGACAATCTGGGAATTTTCCCACGGTACCAAAAAAGTTCCCACGCTCAAGTAAAATTTCAGATCAAAGATGCCGACAATCTGGGAATTTTCCCACGGTACCAAAAAAGTTCCCACGCTCAAATAAAATTTCAGAACAAAGGTGACGACAATCTGGGAATTTTCCCACGGTATCAAAAAAGATCCTAGGCTCAAGTGCCGCCATACCTACTACCATTTAGCATCTATACAGAGTACCAATTTCTTAAAATATGCGTTTAAAACAAAAGAAAAAAACAATTTAAATTGGAGTTAAAAGTTATCATTTCGAAGGCGAATATTATTTGGTTTGCTTGCATTCAAAACCAGAAAATGTTCTAAATTTGTACCAAGTGTTTCCTTGTCCCTTTTTTTTTATTAAAAGATCGACAGAAACTTATCAAGGTAATAGTGTGTTTTAACGATATTTTCCACAATTTTTGATTTACATAAATAATCATATATTTGGGGTGATCTCCAGTCTAGATTTGACCGTTAATACGAGTGCACGTTGAAATGAGTTTTATTTTTGCACGGTACTATACATTTATTTGCGATGAATGTGATAATACGTGTTTTATCAAACAAAACGGTTTTAACCGAAATGTGGCATCATATAAGTGCAATGAATGTAGAAAAGGTAGCCAAGAAAAGGTATTAAAAAATCCATGCAATCAAAAAAAAATAATGAAGACAAGTTACTTAAATACGCAGCCAATAAGCAATCAATCTTTTATGTCAGCCGTAGAGAAAATATCCCTAATTTCTGCAAGTAGCTGCAATAAACTCAACTATAAGTGAATTTAGAGGAAGCATTGAAGAATCGGATGAGGATGTTGGGAATGCAATTTGTTTATTTTTAAGATCAATACATAAGTTTTCATCTGATGAATTATAATTTACGCCGTTGTGCTACCTTATTCACAACATCGAGTTTGAACAAGTTTGGACATTATTGTTATGAAGATATCGGAAATGTCAAAGTGTCATGTTAAAAATCCTGAACAATAATCTTGTTAAATACTAATAATTTTTTTTTTTGTTGAGGAAAAAGTTTCACTTCAATCATGCGTCACTTCACGCATAATTTTGTATTCTTTAAATTTTATGTATCACTTAGATTGAATTGAAAAAAAGTCACTAAAACGAATTAGTACTGGCAATTTTTCTCAATCAAATAATAATTCTTATTACGTCACTAAGACATAATTCCATAAGCGAAATACTAGATCACTAAATTATAGGGTTTCGAAGAGATAACTAATTTAAAGTCTTTTTTTTTTTTTAGATAAAAGTCACAATGACATTTGGTAATACAATATAAAATTGTCAATGCTTTAGAATTTTTATGTAGAAAAGGCTTGTGTTGCCAACATAGTTACTAAATTTTTGACTTGGGGAATTATCTTAAAAAAAAAACAGACTTTACGTGATTTACAATTATTTTTTTGGTTTTCCTGAAAAATTATAGTATTATGACTTGATATACTTTACCTCTGAGGTATAGAGATATAGGTTTTACCAGTATAGGATTGACATAATGAATTACTTTACCACTAGTGAATTTGATAATGAAATGCGACTTAAAACATATTTTAGTGACTTGACATACTTTACCTGTAGTAAATTAAGAAAATTTTAATGTCGTCCAATGTCTTAAGAAAACGTTTTTCAAGGCAAAAGTTTATCAGAATTATTGGGTAATAGACAATGATCGATGTGAAAAAATCGAGGTTCAAGGAAGATTTATCAAATATTAGGATGCCCAAATTTCAAAAAATTGAAAAATAATATTTCCAATTTTCATTGTAATATGCACTCACTCAATTACCTTAGTTGTGCATACGAAAATTTATGTCTATTGAATTATTGGTTTGTAAATAAAAAACAGTAGATAGGTACATATTTAAATATTTTTATTTTTTTACTACTAACTGGTACATTAATCTCAGTAATCACTAAATTGGGAAAAGAAGCTTTATGAAAATAATTATTTCGATTTTTAATTAAATTTCAGTTAGAATGTTGGTATATTTCCATCACTAGAATCATCAGTGAAACGATCCTGTTACCTAGAATATTGGCATTATTCAGAAACTGCAAAAGTCAATCTCTTAGACATTTATCAAAAGAAACACCCCAAATTTATTCATTACAGTAATTTATTGATTACATGTTCATTGCCCAGCTTATAGAAAGGACTAACGACTGTATTAATGTTTTGGGGGCACCATTCGAAAATTACAAAATCTTTTTCGTTCTTGCTCCCTGAATTTTTTTTTTTGCCGTCTTACTCATTTTCGGCGGAGGACAGCGGAGTATCGGGTTCGCTAGCACATACGCTTCTGGATTGTAGGAACTCACCGCAGGTCCCTCATCCCAAGAATGGTCGACGGTAGAGTATTTTTTCTGTTCTAAAATGTTTATAAGTATACATATACTATGGTCTACTAATTTACTTACTTGATCTGTGAAATAGGAAGCCCCCGCAGGTTCTACACCCCAAGAATCGTTGTTGACGTTAGGTTCTTTTTTCTGTTTGAAAATGTTTATATATCTACTATGGTCCACAAATTTACTTACTTGATCGGATGACACCTCATCAACCTGTCTACCCCAGCCGGCACAGCTTTGGTTAATTGATTTTAGATCAATTTCTAAAACAAGAAAATTAGCTATATTTGCTAACAGTAATTTAAAAAAAAAAACAAAAACAAAAGAAAAATGTAAATATTTTTTTTTTTAGAACTCTTACATTATACCTAATCAAAAATTAATTACTTACTTGAAATGTAGATGATACTTAGCATAGCACTTGTAGTTGTAATAAGGAAAAGTAAGACTGACACTATGCATTTATCCGCAAAATTCCTCATTTTATTGGATTTCTTATCTCATTATTATTTTATGGGTTTTGTTAGTTGTTATTGAAAAATACTATATACTATTTAGTAAAGCTTTCCATAAATTTTTGTTAACGAAGCAGAAGTTCACTTTTGCTAATATTCTACAATTATTATCATATGTATAATGATACATTGTAACGATTTCCTATTATTATTGCAGCAAAATAACTTCACTACAATGTATAATTTCTGCACAAGTCAACCATTTTTTGTTCATTAATTTAAGATTCGCATAGGAACGCAACAAAGTTATAGCTATTAAAATGTATCATTTTACCAAGTAAAGGATTTATTTGTTATCATGATAACTTTGAATTTTGGAATATGTCGTTTCTATCATTACGCAAAATAATATTAATACAATGTATAATTTCTGCACAAGTCTACTATCTTTTCTGTATAAATTTGAGATTCGCATAGAAACACAACAAAGTTAGTGGGTAAAATGTATCATTATGCAAAGTAAGGAATAAATTTGTTATCAATAACTTTAATTAATTCAATTAATTTCGTTTCTATTATCGCACGCAAAAATTTAATACAATGTATAATTTCTACACAACTCGAGCTGAAATCTGACGAAATATTCGAAGGTACTCCTGGGAAGAAATCTTTCACATATCCTCTAATTAAATAATTGGTATGTAAATAACAAATGTTAAAATTTCTTGATTAAAATTTATTTGAACTTAACTTACATAGCTATCAACTAGACTTGGTTTCCTTTGAAGGCAACTGTTTTTCAAGAGAAAAAATATGAAATACATTGTAACGATAGATAAAAGTAGTTGTTCGAAAAAAGATTCCAGAAACTTTTTTGTAAATTCAACAATAGTTTAGTTGTTCAATTTGCAATCATTATTAGGCGATTTTTTTAAATTGATGCGAGTATTATAAATTAGAAACACAGCCTCGTTTAGTTATTTGAAAAACAGTTAATTAACTAATAATATACTTACATTATTTATTCAAAATGAATTTAAATTTAGTAAAAGACGCTTATAGTATCCTTATTGAAAAAAATATAAACCATCATAGAGAAAACAACCATTGGTCAAAGGCTCTGAAAGTTTGTCCAGAAGAAATACAGTTCATAGAAAAACACATCAATGTGCCATATTGCATTGCAGGTGGATTCAGTTCTTTTATTTGTGGTTACACTGATGCATTTGGCGATATAGACGTTTTAGTGTGCGCTGACTCACCTGATAAAACACTTTAAAAAATTCTACCACAAAAAAATCGGAGTGAAAACTATGGTAATGGTAGCAAATTGAAGTCAATTTACGACTATACAAATTTTCGTTGGAAAATCCAATTTTTATTTATTGGAAAACCAACTGTAAGTAATGAAGTGGCGTATATAAACCATTTGTGTGGCTACATATTTACATTTGATTTGGCCATTTGCATGACTGCAATTTCACCAAATGGATATTTGTTAGACTTCACACATCTAAAATTCAATGATCGTGGTATTAAATCAGAAAGAGTTGAGAAGTATCAAAAAAGAACAATAAAAATGGGTAAAGTGCAAAGCCTGCAAGAGCAAGTAATAATCCATCAATTGACACGATTTGTTGTGGAAAATGGACCCAGGAAATTGTGTTATGAGTTTGGAGAATTTTATGGATTTCTACTATCTCCGCTATAAATTGACGCCAACCATTCCGTATAATCAGTCCACAAAGAATTAACAGCAGTAAATAACGTATTAGTAACACCAGTAATGCCCGTATTACATCTGTGTATTTTTCCGTGTATTTATTCATGTAGTTCAGGGTGACAACCGAAAAAATTCGAACGTAACAGAAATCAAGATTATGAAAAACAAAATAATGTTGGCACCCTGAACTACATGTATAAATACACGGATAAATACACAGATGTAATACGGGCATAACACAATGATCAATACAATCAACCAAAACCAAATGATATTCGTTGCCAAACTAGCCTCTGATCTAAATCAGATGGAGGAAGATATTTTACGATTTTGCAATCGGAGTCTAATGGGCGTCAATAACTCAAAACACCTGGAAAATGCAAAGAACTTTTAGAATGGAGCTTTTGTCTGCAGAAAGTTTCTAGCAGGAAGCATCGATTCAGTCACATTTGTCAAAGAGATGCTTGCTGAGCATCTATATGATTTTGTAGTTAAAGTGCCCAATATCTGCATTGAAAGAATCGAAAATATGAAACAAGACTATGAAGACAGCATCACTGGCGAAGAGGCAACTTCTAATTCATCAGGGGTTTAACGTGATTTTTCCACTTTTCATATATTGTGAGTAGTTTTTTTTTTTTTTTTTTTGTTTTTTACAATTATAATAATTTGATTTGATTGTTTGTGTAGTATTTATGTCTGTCGTAATGCGTTCTAATTTTTTTATGTAATTTATGTTTTTTTTTTTCCATATATTTCTGTGCATTGCTTGTTTCTATAATTTGACGTTTTATTTTTCTTTGTTTTTTCTTTATATTAATAGTGATTGTTCTTACCTACCGCTAAAACAACCAAAAATTTACAATCAACTACAACATAGTAATATTAATATTAGATACCCAATACTTTTTACTATATTTTATTTGATGTACCTACCTACCTTGTTTTTAATGTCTAGGTTTCTAACTATACCAAGCTTTTTATTTTTTATTTTTTTTATAATAGATTTATTTACCCATGCACTTATTTAGGACTTAGAATTAGGATTTTATAGCTTTGTCAATAAGTTATTGTGACTTGGACAATAAAGCATGTTTTCTTTCTTTTTTTCTTTCTTTCTTATATTATCAGCTGATAGCTATTTTTTTTTATAAATAAAAACGTACAATTTTTTTTTTTCAATAAATTCTTTTTATTCAACCAGGCTATAATTCAAATTCTAGAAACTGAATTGCTTGGCCTAAGTACATTTTGTTGCAACTGAAAAAAGTATAGAATCTTTGGTTTGCTTATCTGCACAATTTCGCCAAGTTTGTATTTTCAACTTTTTTGGAGTAATTTTTGACAAATTGAATATAGACAATTTCGTCTGTGGATTAACTTGAACTGGTTTAATTCCAATTGATCTATGCCCATATTACCCAATAGCCTTTGTATGGCCTGCGAATTTTTAAAATTTATTGGACAGAAAAGGATACCGAAGTGATTTGCATAATTTGAGTATGTTTTCTTTTTATTGAAACTATTGTAATGTTCTTTAATTCTAGTACCAATATTTCTACCTGTTTGTCCTATATATATACTTTTGGACAATCTTTACAAGATAATTTATAAACTCCAGATTTATCACATATTTTAGTTTTAGATTTATTATTTTTTAAATGAAAGCCTATTGTATTGTTAGTTTTGAAAGCAACATTTCTATCGTTTTTGTTAAGAAATTTGCTAATTTTATTACTAGCTTGTCCTTGGAAAGTAATAGTTTTGAAATTATTATTATTTTGTAATTTTTTAGGATATACTAAATTAATGGCATTTTTGTATAGTTATTTGTTTAAAATATCATCTATTAATTTGGAAGAATAGCCATTATTGATAGCAATTTATTTAATTAAGTTTAATTCTTTTTGGAAATTAACATTATTTATAGGAAGTGTTATTAATCGGTATATCATACTGTTAAAAGCAGCTAATTTGTGTTGGATAGGATGACAAGATGTATTGTGAAGGTATAACTGTATCAGTATCAGTAGGTTTATGAAATATAGAAAATTCATGTTTTTCATTTATGTTTTTGATTGTTAAATCTAGGAAATTTATTGAATTATTTAGTTTTTTTTTCTATGATAAATTTTATGTTAGGGTGGATTTTATTAATAAAGTCTATAAAAATATCTAATTGTCTGTCTGTTCCAGTAAAACAAGTTAGAATATCGGCAACATATCTATGCCAGTAGGGAATTTTTTTAAAAATTGAATGTTTGTTAATTTTTTTGATTCAATAAAATCCATGAATATTTCAGATAAAATAGGACTTAGTGGATTTCCCATTATAAGTCGTAATTTGAGTTCAATAAATTTAATAATTTTCCTCAGTGTGTCTGACTACATAAAACAACAAAATGTTGACCAATCTGCTGTTGGGATTTTTTTTTTTTTTTTTTTTTTACGGATATGCGCACTCGCAAGGAAATATCCTATCACGCTCGAGAAGCGGCAAGTGCGCGGAAATGTCGGTGTATGTTGGTCTTGAAACGGTTCAGGTTGTAACCTGCAGGGAAAACCGACGCAGGGAGTTTATTCCACAGCGATGCTGTTCTCCAGAGATATGAATTCTGATATAATGAGGTTCTTGGTGCCTCTAGTTTGACAGTAAATTCATGGTTACCGTCTGTTTGACGGGTTCGCCTGGTAGGTGCTACTCTCGGTGGAATCATACGTGCCAACTCTTCAGAGCATTTTCCGTGATAGTACCTGTAGAAGAGAGATAAATCGCCCACAGATCTGCGATGTTCGAGACCATCCAAGTTACGAGTAAGTGCGGGGTCATTGATCAGCTTGATAGCTCGTTTTTGCACGGTATTCAAAAGCATTAAGGTATGTTTGGGTGCTGCACTCCATATATGTGAGCAGTACTCCATAGTTGGTCGAATCTGGGCTTTGTAGAGTGTCAGCAATTGGCTTGGTGTGTACAGATGTCTTGTACGAAATAGCACCCCCAGCTTTTGGGTTAGTTTGGGTTAGTGGATATGGAATATATAAAATATATAGAAGGAAAAAAGATACAGACTAAATTTTTTGAAAATGCTTTATAAACCTATTTTTTCTAGTTATATGTCTAATAAATCGATTATCAATTCGTACACTTTGTGTTTAACTGTCACCTATGTTCCTATCTGCCTATATACAAAATTTAAAATGGTATCAATAGTATATAAATCAACCACTTTTAACATTAATCTAAGTGATATTCAAACTTCCGCATTGACCAGTACCTACCTACCTACCTACATAAAAATGCATT